CCTAGTGTGTGATTTATCCTGGAGAATATTTCATGTACACTTGAAAAGAATGTGTATTCTGCTGTTTTTGGATGTGATGTCCTGTAGATAGCTATTAAGTCCAACTCCCATATGTCTTTGACAGGCTGCCTGTGGAGGCATCAGCAATTGTTTTCCTCACTCTGCTCAGATGCAGCCTCAGGTCCAAGTACCTTTTGTCCCTCACAGCCTTTCACTGGCCTCACTATCCTCTGTCCTTGCCTTGCTGTGGCAGGTGGAACCCACACATCCTCTTAGCATGTATCGGGGTGAGCTGTGGTGGAGCCGCCACCATCAGCAGTCTGGGCTGCTTCTGTTGCACTGCTTGAGGAAGCCCCCAAAAATGGCTGTTGCTGCCCCACCTAGGCTCCACCCTGGGACCAGGTCGCCTCTGTGTCCCATGGTGGGGCGTTCTGTCTCTGGTCATAGCCACCCCAGATCCAGTGCCGTGTTATTATACAGGGTAAGTGGGGCTTGAGTGTTCGCAGGAAACCTGTATCTGTCCTCTCTGCCCTGCCGCAAGGGCAAGCCAGTGCACACATGCTCTTCACAAGCAGAGTCCAGGCTTCCCACAGTCCTCCTGTTAGTTCCAGTGGTCCTCTAACCCCCAAGGGGGCTTGTCTCCCCAGTATAGGACCCCAGGACTCAGGCGCCCAATCTATGCCTCTCACCACTCATTCCCCCGCGTAGGTCTCAGCTTGTGCAATCTCCCTTTTCCTCTGAGTCCCTTCCCAGGGGCACAGGTCCTGACCCGATCCCTTTTCTTCCCTTTCTACCTGATTACCTGTGGATCTTTCTTACAGCCTTGGTTGTACAGAAGTCTTTCTGCTCATTTTCCATTAGTTTTCAGTGAGAACTGTTCCACATGTAGATGTACTGGGGGGAGTGGACAGGGAGGGAGGTGAGTTCTACATCCTCCTACTCCAACATCTTGATCAATCCTCATATCACTCTTCTTTAATAAGAATTACTAAACTCAGACTAGACACTTGTATATTTTGCCTGCTGAATGCTGGCTTACAGCTACTCTCACCTTGTTAAAAACGCATGCAAGTGTTAAAAGTAGTGCTGGAGATCTAGCAGCAAACTAAGCCTTTCTCAGAGAGATTGAAAGAAATTTGAAAAATTGATAAACTTCATTATATAGTTCAGTGTTATTTAGTGTCATGCTTATGGTCCATATAAAACTGTTTCAAATACTAAATCATGGTACTAACCCCACACTCAGGGAAACCGTGAGCTCTTCTACTAAATAATAAAAACTGTGCACAGAGTAACACATGTAGTTTGGTCCCACTAAGCATAAGGCTTATCTTAAAAAATGTAAGACCTCAGAATGCAGACAAGCTACACCCAGCTTTCTCTTCCAAGAACAACAAGACTGATGGGGGTAAGGCACAGGGCAATGAGTCATCATCTCAAACTAAAGAACATAAGAAATGACATTGTCCATATTTGATCAAAATCATTTGATTAAACAGATGAGATTGGTGCAGGCAGATTGGTGAGAGAGGAATGCTAAGTATTAGGGAAGGTGAAAGAGGAGGTTGGACAGTTGTTTTCTGTTTGTAAAAAGAAATCAATAAAAATAATGAATAGCGCTTGAAAGTAAAAGGCACTATGGAGAATCCGAACCTCAATTAGGAATGAAAAACACACACTACACAGTTCAAAAGATAATATTTGATAAGCTTTTTCTATTGGCAATTAGTTAACCCTTGTTCAAAAAAAAAAAAAAACAACCTAAAAACTTAAGAGCAGTATGGAGCACTTACTGGTAATGAACCCAGGATGGTCCAAGAGTTTTCTTGAATTGAGCAAGTCCAACAATATCAATATAAATTAGCTCAACGATTCTGTCTCCTACAGTTGGGCAGCCAGACCGGTTGCCTACAACCTTCTTCATTATTCTAGACAGAGGAAAGAAAAGAGAAAAAAGAAAAACAATTTACTGCAAGGTACTACACTCAGCAACTTTAACAGGCAAATAAACATCCCAAGAATCCTCATCAGGGAGGATGGCATGGTCTTTCCCCGTCTGCTGGGTACCCCAATTCTGCCCCCTCATCAGGTCCACCCAGAGTCCTGATTCTGATTCTTGAAAAAGCCAATAGTGGTGTACAAACACAGCCTTCGAAGCCAAGAAAAATCAGTCTGAATCTGTCTCCACTTAATTTGCTGGTCAAGAAGATTATGGAGTTATTTAAGCATTGATGACAGGACCAGATGTGTTTAAGTAGACAACTGTGGAAGCCACATGAAGTGGTGGGTCCCAAATATGCTTGCACATTGGAACCACATGGGCATCTATTCAGACTCCCAAAGCCTAGACCATCTTCCAGACTAATTAAACCACACTCCACTATCTAGCAGCTGTGAGATCTTAGACAAGTTACTTAACCTCTCTGAATCTTTCCTCATCAAAAACAAAAACCATCCACACACAACAAGGTTGGATACAGCAACCTCTCAGGAATTCTTCAGGTGGCTAAGTGAGGTAACTGAACAGAAAGTATCCCTAAGTATACTAGACACCCAGTGACTTAGCTTCTCCCAAAGAGCCTGTTCTTCTTACTCCAGCCCTTACTGACCTTCTAAATGCCTTCTATTTCCAGCCTCTACAATATAAACTGCTTTTTGATACTGTCTTTAAAAAATATTTTTTCATTGAAGTATAGTCAGTTTACAATATTGTGTTACTTTCTGGTGTACAGCATAGTGATTCAATTATGCATATATATATTCCTTTCATATTCATTATAGGCCATTACAAGGTATTCAGTACAGTTCACTGTGCTATACAATGGGATCCTGTTTATCTATTTTATATATATTAGTGTGTATCTGCCAATCCCAAACTTTCAATTTATTCCTATCTCTATACTGTCTTGTACTGTTTTCTAATTTTTTGTTTTATGTCAAATTCTTCCTTCTGCCTAGACTGTACTGCAGAACTGGCATCGTGGTTTATACCTTCTGATTACCCCTCCTTCCGTCCATCCACCTATACAAACCCACCCACTCATACACCCATACCCATGCCTGCACTCAGAGCCAGCATACCTGATCATACAACTTCATATGTTGGGGCAAATACCTGCTAACCATCCTGCCATTCACCTGGAAATTGGTCATCACTGATGCCTCTTATCCCTGCTCACACCTAAAAGTCCTTCACCAGTTACGGACACCCGACTGCAAAGGAACAAGATCATAAGCAGGACTCGGCCCTACAGCTCCAGACTGACGCTGCTGCAGGCAGCCTTCTTTCCTCTGGGCTTCTCTGAAAGGGCCAATAACCAATATAACCATATAATCAACTTCTTCCCAAGAACTTGAAAATTGTTTTCTGTAAAGGACCAGGTAGCAAACACTTTCATCTTTGCAGGCCACACCTTCCCCATCACAACTATCTAAATTCGCTCTTATGGAAGGAAAGCAGTCAGTCAGTACACAATGGGTGTGCCGGTGGGCCCATGAAACATGATTAACAAAAGCAGGCCGAGGCCCGGGTGTGGTCGGCAGAGCCATAGTTGGCTGACTGTACAGTCCTCCTGTATTCAGTGGTTCCCAAGCCTGTCTGTACTTTGGAATTACCTGGAAGGATCAAAAGATACTTACACTGGTGCCCTACCCCCAAAGGTTGTGATTTAGTCTGGGAGATGGTCTGGGCTTTGGGAGTCTGAAAAGATCCCCAGGTAATTTTTAATGTGTAGGCATGTTTGGGAACCACTGCTCCATGGGGTTTTCACAATTTTCTACTCAAATAAAACATATCTGGCCCTGTCACCAGTGCTCTGAGACCTCCAGAATCTTCTTGACCAGCAAATTAAGCCTTGGTCTGGTATATCCCTAGTACACCTTTCAGACCTCCTTAGAGAGCAACTGACCCTGGAGAAATGGGGTGCTCCCATAGCTGTGGGAGCACTTCATTTCTCCATTACCCAGTCAGTCATTCATCCTTCCACTCATCTGTCCAGTAAGTAATTATAAGCACCTACTGGGCGCCAGGCACTGTTCTAGGTGCTCAGCACACAGTGGTGAGCAGGAGTCACACAATACTTTGCACTCCCTGTGCTGACATCCTCGCATCCACACTTCAGCTGGTACTAATCACCCAGTAGTAGGTCTCATAATTACTCAATGTATTAGTTGTGACCATCGAAAGATGGGCATCTCTTTGGCCACACGCAGGTCATCTCTGTATGTCCCACACCAAGAACTAGCCCACAGAAAGCTCTGAAGGAGTGACAGCTAGATGTGTGAAGGCACCCACTTCATAGGTTGTGTCCCCAGCGAGTCTGAAAGGAAGCAGGAGGAAGGCAAGGGGAGGCAGCTGTGAAAGGGACAAGAGTGGTGAGGAGGAGCTCGGCAGACTCAGGTTTATCCAGCTCTGAAAGGAGCACTGGAGTTCAGAGGTCAGGAGCTCAGGGTTTGAAGGCAGGGGGACAGAGGGCTGAAATCCCAGCTCTTCCACCTACTCTCCATGGGAACTTGAAGAACTCATTGTTGGTTTGAGCCTCAGTTCCCCCCCCTTTAGAAAGCAGAGAGCAACAGCACCCACTTCCAGGTTTGCACTAAGGACTAAATAAGGTAAAACGCATAAAGCATTCAGTATCTGGTGCGCGGGAAGTGCTCCACCAATGCCAGCAATATTAACAGGCGTCAGCAATGTTATGGTTGTCGTCACCGGTGATACCACTGCTGGAACTACAGCCTGTCTCATGGTCCCAGTCAGGGAACCATGGGTTCCAGGATGGAATTCATTTAACAAATGACAGCTGACATTATCTTACTGAGACCATTGCTTTCATCTCAAAACTGCCTCTCATCAAGTGTTGACCTTGGACCTCATGTAAGTGACCTCTCTGGGTATCAGTATCTTGGAAAATAAAGTAGCAGCAGCAGGGCAGGACACGTAATGTCTTCACACCTCTCCCACCTCCAGAATGTTGGTTCACTCAAGCGATTTCTTTTGGAACGGCTGACATATTGTAACGTGCTAACTTGGCTGTTGGGCGATTATCCAAAAAGGAGCGAAGGGGCTCTAAACATTTCTGCTTAGCCAGCCGTGTCCATCTCAAAGGGATTAAGAGAGGGCTTGAACTAGAAAGCAAATTCCAGTGAAACAGTAAACCTAGGCAGAGTTAACAGACTCAGAGTTGAAGTCTGGCTAATTGAAAAAGGGTTGGATCAGGGCTTTCGAGAAACTCATTCTAACCAAATTAAATTACCAACAGGAACCTGCCCTGTTTGAAGATTTAGAAAGCGTGACGTTGAGGAGGGAATGGCATGAATTTCAGCAAGAGACAGGGAATTAGGAAAGTCAATAATGTGTGCTGCAGATGTTGGAAGCACCTGTAACAGCAAAGAATAAGCTCCTTAGTTAGAATTTTCTGACATTCATTGCTGAAGCCTCTGGAGCCCGCAGCGACAATGAAAACATATTATCCTTTTCACAGTGTATGTATTTAGCTCCGGAAAATAATCTTCTTATCTCCTGTTTAGTGAATTATCACTTTCATTTTCCTCCACAAGAAATTACACACTAATAGAAGGCTTTAAGAGTTTACAATTTCTTTTTTGTATTCTGATTTTAAAATTGAAAAGTAATCTCCTTACTCCTTGAGCTCTGCCAGTGAAGCTGAAATCCTAATGTCATGGCCCAGTAAGTACAAAGATGTAATTAAATCACTCCACTGAACCAATTCACCAAGAGGGCCACCACTGAAAGCGGTCTCTGCGATCTTAAATCCAGATTCCTTAGTCAGGAGTCCCAGGTGAACAAGGACCTGGGAAAAAAACAAAGAAGAGGCACATACTGACTCACTCTGGACCAAGTCCAAACTCCGTAACACACCAAATGATCAACCAATTCCAAAGTCCTCTTTAGGTTCTAATGAAATCTCAACATGGGGTAAATAATTTTTCTAAAAGGCACAAAGAAAGGCAGGAAATGACTTTTCACTGTTGTTTTAGAGAAATAGAGTCATTACTGTATTCAGTAATGCCTATGAGCATAAGATAGGGACAGATAATCCTGCTTTTAAAAAGCAGGATGCATTTGGAAAATCAGAGTGTAAACGAGGACAATAAAGTATCTTTTAACAATACTGAGCTTTTTTTCCACTGCTGGAATACTTTTAAGCTTTTAACATGGGAATTTTCAAACACTAACAGAAGCAGACATGACAATGCAGGCAATTCTGATACACTCAGCAATTATTATTAACTTCAACAATTATTAACTCATGATAAATCTGATTTAATGTACGCCCCTCATCTTCTCCCAACTCCTCTAGCTTATCTTGAAGCAAATACTAGACACCATATCTACACTATTTCCTCCTTTCCCTTCTTTGACCTTTTTTTTTTTTTTTTTTTTTTACTGTGGTAAAACATTCTTTACCATTTTAACCATCTTTAAGGGTATGGTTCAGTGGTATTAAGCACTTTCTCATTGTTGTATACCCACCACCACCCATCCATCTCCTTTATTTTGAATTTTATGGTTGCCCTTCCATTTAAAAAAATCTGAGCAAGAAGCACTTATGTATATTACATATTCATTATATATGTGTGTATATGTATATATCCATAGGTATACATGCAGGTAATAGAGATATATAAACCCTTCTTCTCTTTAAAAATAATGTTCACTATTCTCCACCTAACAATATATCCTGGAGATTACTTCACAGGATTATATAGAAATACTCTTTATTTATTTTTACAGCCCATCTGGATCTATGACTACATACTCTTTCCTAGAGGACTATTTAGTACCAGGATGTCTGGTCCTACTGTGTCATAAACTCAAGGGATCTAAGCAAAACGGACTCATCGAACTATGACTGCGGGTTCTGCGAGTGTATCTGTATTTTTTCCCCCCAAGGATGTCATATTAGTTTAATTAGGAATACCAAACTCATGTTTCATTTATTTTTAGATACGGGAACAGACTGTTTACTTTGCTCAGTTATTCTTCAACAGAACCATTAATCTAAAATCTAAATACGGCTGCTTCCTGTATAATAAGGTATAAGATCTTCCATGCTCAGGGATATTCTAGAGGTTTTCCAAGCATCTCCTCAGGAACTTCAAAACAGATTGGCTTTAATTTATAGTATCTCTCTCTCTCTCAGGAACATAGGAAGGAGCACCAACCAAAGCAGCAGCGGAACTCACCCGTTAGTTTCTCCAGTCCCAGAATCGACAAATACCAAAAATACGCAATTGTCATGATGTTGTAACAGGAAGTGTTAGAAGGTTGTATTCAGGGGAAGTAAAGAGAATTAAATTTCCTGATGCCACTGAGAGAGACAGTCAGATTGTTCAAAGGAAAATCTTACAGACAGATATCCTGCTTGGCTTCACCCAAGAAACATGTGTGCCAGGCCCTGCTAAGTAAGATTACTGTAATCAGGGAAAGGAAAGCCCAAAAATGCCTGTCCAAGAGACTGAGCAAGTTCACCCTGAGGGAGTATCATCTGAGACATGCCATTTCTCTTAGCCTGGTTTCTGCGCAAAATCAAACTTTAAAGAAAACTGGCATCTAACTGAAGTGAATTCATCAGAAACTCACTTTCTTCCGCTTTCTCTTTTCAAGATTCTGCTTTTCTGCCAGGGACTTGATTGCTTGGATCCACGCATCAGCCATTCGCCGGATCCGGAGTCTCATCCACCGGAATTCTTCATGCTTTTTCATCATACTGTAGAGAATATTAAAATCCGTACGAATTTCTGCCTAGAAACAGACATGCAATAAAAAATGAATAGAAGAGAAGCCTCGAAAGCATAATGGTTTTCATGATGTGACAGTTGAAAACTTGAAAGAGAGAGTCAATTAAAGACAGGACTTCAAACGCCTTTGCTGAACAGCTTTGCTTAAAGGTCCCAGGATTGCAAATTGAAGCAAAGGCCCCTCACTGCTGATCTTCTATAAGGGACATCATTAAAAAATTAGAAGTTGAAAAAGGCAGCACAGACATTGCAAAGCCCTGAGCTATGTTAAAATGTCTGTTTTTCAGTGAATATGCTTGACGTACCTTGAAATTCTCTGCACTCGAATTTATCAGCCTCTAGGATCTACTGCAGGGTAGCGGACTCCTTGAGAAAACTGAAGTCAGTTCTTAACAGGCTACCTGCCACTGTACAGGTTGCCAAAAACCCTCATTCTGTCCACAAAGTCAAGTAGGGAAATAAACACTCACCCTCTAATTTTGTCCCAATCCCAACAAACTAAAGTTGATTATTTGGCTAAGGAATTTAAAAGCCAAGAGTATCATTTTCCTACCATAGCTGAAAAGAATTTAAAATTCCTATCAGAATAACTTAAAAGACAGGAAGGATATTCTTCTAAAATAGTGGGATACAACCAACAATTCAAATAGCAGAAAAAAATAAAAACACTAGTATTTTTTTTCATGTAACATCTAAAATAGGCTGCATACATCTTTCAGCAGTCACCATAATTCATTCTCAACACTCATCTGACATCACCTTGATCCAACAATTTCCTAAGAATCCCATGAGCTAAGCAGGGCTCAGTAAATACTGGCTCTTGGGCCAAATCTTCCTCCCTGTCTGTTTTTGTACATAAAGTTTTATCAGAACACAGCCACACCCACACCCACTCATTTACATATTGTCTGTCTGCCCTGTGCCACAAGGTCAGAACTGAGCAGTTGTAACCGAGACCTTATGGCCTGCAAAGATGAAAATATTCACCACCTGGCCTTTCACAGAAAAAATTTGCTGATGCCCAGGGTAAAGGATACAGACGAGTTTTGTTTTTTTCTTAATATGCCTTTTACCTATTTTCTGAATTTTTATTTTGAATAAGGCAATAATGATCCAGTTGAGTATAACATTTCTCCTTTTTTAGCTCACTTTTTTTTTAATGCTGGCTTTTTATTTATTTAATTTTTGTTAACCATTTTTTAAATTGAAGTATAGTTAATTACAATGTTATGTTAGTTTCAGGTGTACAGCAAAGTGATTCATATATATATAATCTTTTCCAGATTCTCTTCCATTATAGGTTATTACAAGATTTTGAATATAGTTTCCTGTGCTATACAGTAGGATCTTGTTGTTTATATATTTTATAGAGAGTAGTGTGCATATATAACCCCAAACTCCTAATTTACCCCCCCGCCCAACCCTTTCCCTTTTGGTAACCATAAGTTTATTTTCTATGTCTGTTTTGTAAATAAGTTCACTTGTGTCACATTTTAGATTCTACATATAAGTGATACCGTGATATTTGTCTTTGACTTGACTCCACTTAGTATGAGAATCTCGAGGGCCATTCATTTTGCTGCAAGTGGCATTATTTCATTCTTTTTTGTGGCTGAGTTGAACTCCATTGTGTGTGTGTGTGTGTGTGTGTGTGTGTGTGTGTGTGTACGTACACTAACCCCACCCCTACTTCTTTCTTTCTCCTACTTCTACTTACTTATCGTATAGTAAACTTAGTTTTAGGTTTCGTT